AAGGCTCGACTCGAGCCGAGCTGAGCTGAGTTGAGTCGAGTCGAGTTGAAAGCAATAACCTAGTTTTCGGGCTGCTCAGTTGGCCAGGGCGTGGTTCAAATCCCGGGTAACCAGATATGTTATGTGTACATAATGCGTTGTACATAGAGCAGAAGAAGGCAGCAGCTAAACAGCATCCACAAATTGCAACGCACATCAGGGGCGATGTTGCAGATGGAGTCCACAAGAAATACAAGAAAATAAAAAGGGGCTTGGCAATTGAGGCCATCAGGGGTGAGCAGAAAAGCGCCTGGAAGTATGCAACAAATGATGTTAGGCCGCATCGAATTCCTATAATCAACGCTATATATACTCGTTCACTCGTAACTATACGAAACTCTGCATTTCGTGTACGAAAAACTGGTGGAATTTGGCGCAGCATTCGCTTCACAGTCAACTCTCGCACAATTTCAGTTGGAGTCGCGCTCATGCGACCCACAGATACACAGATACACAGACACGCTCACAGCAACCGTAACAGATACAGATACAGTTACGAAGAGGACACCATTTCATTTTTTCGTTTCGTTCTGTTTGATTTTTTTTTTTAAATTTAATTCCATTTATGCTTACATACTTCTGTATCTGCTCGGGCCAGCCGCTTTCGACTCTCTTCGGGCACCCACGCCTCCCCCTAAGCCCATATCATATAACTTTGGATTTAATATTTCGTTGTTGCGGCTTCTTGCCTTCTTCAAATGGGGGGGCGTGGTCGAGCGAAGTACATTCAGAAATATACTAGTTCTCTGCTTCTTATTTTTTTAATCCAATTCTTTGAAAAATCCCTCCCCATGACCCAAAACAGAGCCCATATATTTAAATAAAAGTCATTTGGCGGTGTGCTTTTCTTTTTAATATTAATTAAATTTTTATTAATTACTGCATATTGTGGTTCATCGTTTTGCGATATTTTAGTTGTAGGCTCGCATTCATGTTTTTTTTTTTTTTTTCATTGGATTGGTTGGGGGAACAAATATATTAAGTTTATTATTGGGCCACCATTTTGTTTAGAGCTTTGGCTTTTGCCATTCATCGGTTATAGATATAACACTTAATATAAATTGCATTTCTTAGATATAATATAAATATTATTATTAATTTGCTCATACATATATTCGCATCCTTCAGCAAGCGGTTGAAAAATTCACTTTATATTGAACTACGGATCATTTATTTTGAAATGGATTTAAATGGATTTCCTTTTTGGTTTTTCTGATGCAACGTTATATTTATATTTAGATCAATCTGAATCGGATAATCGAATTCACAAGAGTATGAAATAATCAGAGGATGGACTCCAATTACATCTGAATAGTACTAGTATAGCTGTCGAGTTTTGTTTGTGAAATAATGAAACAGTTGTACACTGAGAGAGTCTTGGTGTGTACCTTTCCGATGCCGATATATACATATATGATAGATCACATATATATGATAAAACTTGTTGAGAATCAGATCACTTATTTCCCGTTCAACTGTTTTGGGTGCTTTTTTGTTCTTGTTTTGCAAAAGAGAAACCTTTTTAATGGCTGAAGAATACGAGTTTAGAAATGCTTTCGTCTTGGCCGAAATCAATGAGTTTATTTTAAAAAATTTCATTTTGATTTTCATCTGTTTTATTTTTTCAATTTGGTTTCTTTTTGTTTTGAGTTGTCCTTTTAATAAAAAGTCGAATAAAATGCGGCAAAAATAATGTTGGGTATAAATTTGAATACTGCTTGGCTACTGAAATAGGAATTCTTGTAACTACATAGTTCAATAAATTCTAATACCATTGTAAATACATTTTATATCGTTTAATATACTCGTATAGTATGTATATATATATATATATATATATATATCTATTTTTCATTTTTCTTCCCTCTCTTATTGAGCAGTGTTCGTGTCGGTGTATATATAAGAAAATGCATATACTTGTATGTACGCATGTATGTATAAAGTTACAGTTACAAGTTATACAGTTACAGTCACACTAGTTAAAAATTTAGTTTGAATATCAATTGAGATAACTAAGTTACATTTTACGTTTTGGCCTTGTTTCTTGTTGTTTGACATTAATGCATGAATCGAACTGATTTCCCTTCATTTATCAATAAACAAATTGTATTACATATTCGTTTGCTTAGCTAATTAGAGAAGAAATAAAAACAAGCGCAATTACAACTTAGGCTGTTAAAAATCTTTGGCATTGTAAAATATTCAAGATACTAAATAGGTAGTACATGTACATATAGTAAGTATGTTCACAATAATTTCAAAACGAAATACTTATGCATTGTCGTATTCAATTTTCTATGTATATATGTATATTAGCTTACTCGTACATATGTATAATCGTTACGTTTGACACCACCACAAAAAAATGTTTATGTTAGTTCCCTTAAAATTTCTCATTCGCGTTAAAAAATACATTACAAAATTGTTGTTTTGTTTTTTTTTTTTTTTTGTTGTTGTTGTTGTGCGGTTTTAAGAGTAGTTGAGTTTTCCGAATTTTCGTTTCTGTGCTTCTCTCTTCACTATATGATTTGTCGTCCTAAATGTTAATATGTTGTCATTTCTTTGAATGGGTTTCTTCTTATACTATTTATATTTGATTATAATAATTATTTAGGGATCGCATTTTATAGTCTTATCGATGAAAAAAATTAATATATTTCCATATTGGAGCAATGTAGTCTTCAAAAATCATAAACAAATTATCACAATACATTGAAAACGAAAGTGGCTAACAATCCTAAGGTACGCTTACAAAATACATAACCCAAATTTAAACTTGCAATGCAACAAACTCAGTTTTGTTTTCCATTCGTTTTTTTTTGTTGGTTTTTTTTTTGGTAACTCTGTAATACTGTAATAATATATCAACAATTGTATCGCCCAAATATGGGTGAAAAGTGCGACGAAGTTGATCAAACAAAGCACAATGCAGATGGCGCAAAATTTGTATTCTTTTTGTTTTTTTAATTATAAAAAAGGTTCAGAGGATGTGAACAATAAACGCTCTATCAGTAGAAAATGTTTAAAATGTTTCTATAACTTTAATACCGAGAAAAATTGTAATTAATATTTGTTGTCTTTTTTATGCTCCAAACCTTTACACAAATCACGTAAATAGTATTACTTAAGACTTATAAACCTGTTAATCGCCTTCGCTGCTTTTCCATTTCACTGTTGCTACTATGTAGTACAATATACTTGTATATGCATATATGTATGTATATACTATATATGTATGTATATAGTTAATACTTTTCATGGTTGCCTTTCTCGGCTTGATCGCTCGCCTATTTTGGTGGGGTTTCTTTTAATGAATATTTTGATTTCTTATTACGAGTGTGCACTACGTATTAAATACCTTCTAAGTTGTCATGTACGAGCATGGGTCTTTCAAAGTTATAGTACAAACTCGAACCCATATTTATGTTTTTAAGTCAAGCCTAGCGTTCGTTTTTTATTTGCATTTCATTTGGTATCATCAGAAACTCTTATTAAATGCAGGAATATCGTCTATGTCCTCGTAACTTTATGCTTTAATTCATATTTCATTATTTGTAAACCTTTCACAACTCTTTTGCGGCACTACCTCCTTTTGCGTTCAGTTTTCGTTGATAAGTGTGGGAAATAGTGTTGGGAAACGATAAGCGAATCATATAAATCGATGCGTCGGTGAAGTGAAAAAAATTGTTCGACTCTTATCGTGAGCTTACTTTTCCTTATTGCAACGCATCGATTAAATTAATATATTGTTAGATAAATAAAATATCTATTTCTGGGTATATATTGAATCTGGATCCCTTTTCCATGTTTGACAATTTTAACGGGGCTACATAAACACATGTTCAGTCTCCAGTTGAAATTGTAACATTCATTTTATGAATCATCATGGGAGGTTGGGGAACTAGTATTGTAGATATTTCGATTCACATGTATTTATCTTTTATTTCTCCAAGTTGTATGGATTCTGATAATACCTCTGTTCTTTATGTATAGTTATTATATTTTTTCGGAGCCCTAGAATTTCTCAACTGGGTTTCGTTTCTTTTCAACGGTTTCCTAATGATCTGTTTTGTTAACTAACGCTTCTCCTAATGCAGATTTTCGATATATAAATATGTTTGCTTGTATGTTGTATAAACTTCAAATCGACTACAAAGATTAGTGTACATATCTATATACGATTATTGTAAAAATTTTCCATAACACACAATATATGAGTATATAAATACTTCTGTATATATGCTGTTTAATACGTTCAGAATTCTGACTTTAACTTGACATTGCTTTTAGTTTCGCTCAATTATTTTTCTTTAAGATTTCGTTTCGATATCGTTCTCTTGTTTTCTTCGTCGATACGAGATTATAAAAAGTCTTAGGCATACCTCATGCATGGATCATTTATTATTACTTCTCTGCTTTTTGTAATTCCCTTCTCAGCTCTGACGATTTTAGATATGTTTGGACACTAAATGCGTGCTAAGCATCTTCATCTTATGGCCTAAGAGAAAGAGAGAGGACACTGCCAACTTGTTGGTGCTGGTGGTGGTGTTGATGGTGTTGATGGTGTTTTGTTTTGCTACTGAAGGTGGTACACTGGTGGTGGTACTGATGATGATTATGATGGTGGTGGTGCTGGTCTCTCTGGACGATTACTACACGCCCAGTCATTTGGTCATTCTAGTTCGTTTGCTTGCAATTGCCATTGGTAGTTGATTTTGCAGGTTTCCAGATCTGTGTCGGTCTATACGAGTGTGTAATCGGGAGTGCGACAAATTTTAAACGAAGCTGAGCTCATGTTCGCTGAAGGCGTCTATGAACTCAAAGTGCGCGTAAACTCATTCACCATTTATGACAAAGACCGGACAGAAAGCCTTATCGTTGTTCAGGCTTTGCGGCGACAGCTGCTTCTTTAGTGTCGCAATCGTGACATCCTCACGCGCCTCAGCCGCTTCACCGTTCGCCTTGCTGCCGGCATTGCCGCCGTTCTGTTCGGCCGCTTCCTCATTGTTTCCCGTGTTGCCGCTGCCAGTGCCGCCACTGTCCACCTCCTCAACGGTCTCAAGCTCCCCGCCCGCTAGTGTGGTGGAGCAGTAGCAATAGGATAGATTCGTTTTGAGATCCTCACAGAATTGTTGCTGCTGCGCAATACTTTGTATGCGCGAGCGGGCGAATTCTCACATGTACGTGGGCTTCAGCTTGTAGGCCCGCTTCCAGATCTCGCACAGGCACACTGTCGAGTGGAAGCGATAGAAGATGGCCAGCGGCATGGACACATGCGTAATGATGGTCCAGGCCCAAAGACCATAGAAGTTCAGTTGTATGGGATGCGATTCAGCGCGTGATTTCTCCAGCGTACTAATGGCCCACATGGCCAGATTGACCACCAACATGAAGGTGACGATTTCCCGGCCGGGTTTCTTGCGTATGTGCTCAGGACTGACCGCCTGCCGGCGACTGGCGTCCAGTATGAACATGGTTTGGCAAGCCGTCTGCACAATGGAGGCCAGAGCATTAATGGGGACCAGCATATCGTCGCTGCGAAGCGTGAAGTGGCCGGCAATCACTGTGAAGATATTGTAGAGGAATGAGCCCGTCTGGGCCCCCACCAACAAGATGTCGTCTAGCGAGAAGCTACGATAGGCATCGTACTGTAGATGACGGATCTGTATCATGCCCAGTAGAGTGGCAATTGTGGCTGTTCCATATATTAATAGCTCGCAAATGGTCACCTCGGTGACGGCAAGAGCAACGAACTCCGGTCGAGAAATCAGCACAAAGAATATGATTAGCGAGATGATGGTTAGCACTAGGATCAGGATGCCTACAAAGAGACCCTTGTGGGCACGCGCACAGTCTACGGAATAATGATGGGGTGAACGTTTCATTGGCGAGCTTATCATATCCGGACGTTGGGGTGTGTTGCTCTGAGGCCGTGAAATGCTACGCCACATCACATACAGAATTGCGGCACAGATCAGCGAGTACTCAATGGTGCAGGGGAACAGGAATGGTGAGGCATCCTGCACCAAAGTACCAATAATATTGGTACGTCGACACTCGAAGATCTGATAGGGGCCCTTGAGGCCACGGGCCACACGTAAATGTGCCGTAGGATCAATAACCGTAGGCGCAATTACCGCATGACCACGGGAGTGTCCCGGTATGCGATGTGAGATGCGTAGCGTCCGATTCTCCGGATTATAGAAAGTAAGTATTTCGTGTTTGGTCTCCTGAATGAGCACGTTAAGCCACACAGCCAGATTGGTGCCGATCATATGCATGAGGCCGAAGCGTGCGATGATCTTATAGCGATACACCTTGATCTGCTCGTTGTTCAAGAAGATGAAGTACATCTGTATAAAGATGAAGGCCATACGCGTCGCTGGCGTCAAGGCGAGCAGCACATTATGGCATTTGGTGTCCGGATTCAGCTCGAAGTACTGTCCAAACTCTAGCCCCGAGTAGATCATGCTGCCAATGCCGAAAGCTGAAACCAAATAGCCGATGGGTTAAATGCGACCACAAGAAGAGTGAAGGAGTACTTGTTTACTTACCCACGGCTCCCATGCGTAAGTAAAAGCTGCCATAATGATGTTGTCGGCCTAGCGGGGAGAGCAACGATGGCCGTCGTACCGGTATGACCGGCGGCATGTGGTTGCGTCGCGTTGAAGTGCTGTCCGTATCCGATTCATCGAGGCTGTCCGATGCACTCACCTTTGCCGTTGATTTGGTAGGCGAGGCTGTAAAAGGTCAGTAAAGATAGGCTTGAAATACAAACATATATACGCTGGGAGATCTAAGGATTCCCAATACTTATAGCAGATCATATAAAGAAGACCAGACAAGGCAGTTTTTGTTATCACATGCAAGGTGAGGAACACAAGACGATGCAGACGGACTTGTGGCAGACCAAGACTATCATAAGCCATATATACGAGTAGACCCAACTGACATAGGAAAGATCGGTGAAAAAACCATCATGATTGTGGAAAACTTGTTGCTTAACACGATTTTGTAACTAAGCACCTACCTCACTATATTCTGCAGTACTATATAATTAAAATCTGAACTGCCATTGAAACAATCGATCCGATTCGCGAAGTAATTTTTCAAAATCACCTACACAAATAGCTTCTACAGACACGATTGGTGAAGTAAAGTTCATTTAAATTGTGGGAACGAGTATAGAAGGACGTTCTATTCGTCCGTTCTTCCAATTTTACTTATGTATGGCCGGGAGGATTCTACTTACTAATTGGCACCGGCAGCTTCGGACGTCCCCAGAGCATGGTAGCGTACATGAAGAGCAAAAAGATCATGCTTCCAATGTACAAGTACAAATAGTAGACCTGAAGAGGATAAGAGACAGAGTTGCTTTAGTGGGTGGTAGTGGGGGGAGCAGTGGAACGTTGGACACTGACCTCATAGAACGAAGGCGGTATGTAGGTGGAAATGACCTCAGCCATTGGGAATGCTATGCCCATCACAACCAGCAGTTTTCCATAGAGTGCTGAGAAGAGTGTGGCTAGAGCATCGCCGCTGTGGGAAAGGAATGAGAGAGATAGAGAGAGAGAGAGAGAGAGAAAGCAACGGAGAGGATTAAATAATGTTCCAAAATGACGAAACTTGAGTACCCTATACTTACGCCTTGATACGCGGCATTGGTGGATACACAAACGAGGGCCGATGTGTTCGTTTGATGGCCGGCAATACTGGATAGTTGGTCAACTGATGTGAGTGATACATGAGGGCCAGTTGATCGTTGGGACGCTCGCTATCCTGATTGGTCAGCTGACGCTGTGATGAGCTGCCCGGTGAGGAGGGTGGCTCCGAGCTGTCACCACCGCTGCCACCACCACCATCCCCACCGCCATCATCACCATGCCCGGTGCCCGGGCCGATAATAACGCCACTGGGTCCGGCGCTCTCCACGCTGCTCTTGTGCGGTAAACTGGACTCATCGATGGTCACATGATGCTGAGAGCCGGACCGCGCCGACATACGACCCGGCGAAATGGCAGTCACGGACGTACCCTCCGACGGCGCAATGAGCAGAGCGCTTGTTGGAGCCGCTGCAGCGCTCATGAACTGTGTACGACGACTATAGCTGGGGCTGGAGCTGCTGTCTTCGCCACCGCCACTACCGCTGCCACCACGTCCTGGACCGCCGCCACCCCCGGGTGCATAGCTGCTCGGCACGGTGGGCGTTGGGACGCGAACACTGTGCGTGTGATGGTTCTGATGATGCGGATGCTGGAACTGATGCGGCAAGTGGTAGTGATGGTGGCTGCTCGTAAAGTGTGCCCGCACAGGCTGTGGTTGTGTGGTCACCACCGCTGGCGTTGACTGTGCCTGTGTCTGTGCCTGAAGCGGCGGCGGTGGCGTCTGTTCGTCCTGGTAGCTCAGTGTGGCGATTGGTCCATCAGTGGCACTGCTGTAGTTCGAAGAGGAATGCATGGTGAAACATTAAATTTATTATTCATATACGACTATACAATATAATTATGATTATAGCGCGTGCACTCAAAGCGACGTCGACCCACTGAATGCTGGAGCTGTTGGATTTGCATTGCCCAGATTTTGGATTCGCGTTTTTGCAGACACAAATACCAACACCAACCCACACACATGCACACACATGTACATGGTACTTGCTTTAATTAAATAATGGTCTGCTTCACGGGATGAGTGCCATTTGGGATTGGCGCTCGCAACTGTTGCTATGGTCTCAACGCGATCGCTTTAGTGATAACAACATCAGTGGACAAGAAGAAACACGAGTATACACGCACACTCGTGTATATACTTTTTGTACATATACGGACAGTTGTCCACTTGTGTGTGTTTGGTCATTTATTTCGCTGTGCTCATCAGTTCGACTGCCAGACATTTCCGCTGAGGCGTCATTGAGCGACCTCCTCATTTGAAATCATCAAAGTTCACACCTAAATGTATCCACATAGACGTGCATGTATATACATATATACTCGTACATGTATGCATTTATTAACAATGCTGATCATAATTAACTAGCTCATAATGAGGCAGCCACTTTATTCATATCTCAATGGTCCTTCGCGTCACTGCCAAGTACTAGCGAGAAGTTTGCTTTATTGGCTGGTTAGATATAGGGATTGGGAAACAGTCTACAAAAGGAACTCATGTGCCAAGCTCAGATTAAAGTGTCTGTGGTGTGTGATGGTTTATAAAAGGTATAGAGAGAGCTCCTCAGCTGATCAGTTCATCTAGTGCTAATAGAAGAGGTATTAATAGTAGAAGCGAAGACAGTGCCGGTACAAATCAGCAGGGAAGAAACCGGGAAGAAAAGAGGCAAGTATAGATATCACATTTTCGCTTTAGGTCAGATAAATACTAAATTATAAATGGGTTATAGAGAGCTCCTCAGCTGATCAGTTCATCTAGTGCTAATAGAAGAGGTATTAATAGTAGAAGCGAAGATAGTGCCGGTACAAATCAGCAGTGAAGAAACCGCGAAGAATCCTGAACACATTGCAGAAAAAGCGACACATCATAGTTATAACAAAAGCTGTAAGTAAGTACGTCCTATTCCCGCTTTAGGTAAGATAAATTACAATAGCTTCATCTGCCTATATAGTACCAAGCAGATATAAGTGCTACATTTCACTATGGTTCGAAATCCACATTTTTTTGCATAAATCCGAAATATTAAGTTATTTATTTCAAATTTAGTTTGTACGCATATTTTAGCCCCCTAAGACGACATACCAAGTTTGGTTCAGTTTGGAATACTAATTCATATAGCTTCCATATATTTAATTGATTATGCCGATTTTCACTAACTTTGGCCTATAATTCTCTCTCATGCTATATATTTTAGTTCACAAAAAAAAAAAATAAATTGAAAATACAGAATTTCATTAATACTGTCTACATTTCGAAAGCCACATAAACCAAACTTCTCATATCACATAATCTATTTGTATATGGGCATGTCTCTAGAAATGTCAACCGCAACCAAAAAATTCAAAGTCTGTAAACGTATGATGTTTTAACATATTTGTATAGAGAATCTATGCACGTTTTGTTTTGATTACTGTTCTTAATGAGAGACATTATGCATTGATATTTGCTCTATAAAATATTGGTTTATATTTAAGCAATATAAGAAAAATGTAAAAGGAACGATGCGATTGCCAATTACGGTACATTTTTAACTTTGCTTTAAGGTATATTTGGATGTCGCGTGCGACATCGAAAAAGTACATTTGTTATCAGAGCGTCAAAGGTATTTGTACAAGGAGCGTCAAATATTAGCTGCAAACACAGTTTTTTATTTCAAATAATGTTTTTAAAAATTTGCCGCAAAATAGTCAGCGCTTTGGTCGCAGAACCTATTTAAAGTTTGTCGCGTGCGACATCGTAAGTGCAAAATGTATAAATTAAAAAAAAAATCTAAAACAACCTTATTTATATATATACATACAAAATATCACTTTAAAAACGTTTTTTTTTTTGCTTTAAACCTTTTATTCGAAATTAAAAGCTTGTACAGGGTGCGCCATCTTTTATGTCGGTGTGTAGATATTGAATGGCTTTGTCATTAGTGAACCGATTGACTTGAGTAGACCAGTGTTGAAAACCTCAGTTCAAGAAATTGTACAGAACCAAATTAAATAAAAATATCTCATACTTGAAAATCGGTTGTTTATTTTCAAAGATATTCAGTGTTTACATACCGACATAAAAGATGGCGCACCCTATACCCGTAGGGTTAATATACCCTATTAGGTTTGTGCAAAGTATATAACAGGCAGAAGGAAGCATCTCTGACCCCATAAGGTACATATATTTTTGATCAGCATGACAAGAGAAATCGATCTAGACATGTCCGTCTGTCTGTCCGTTTGGCTGTCCGTTTGGCTGTCCGTCTGGATGAACGTCTGGATTTCGGAAACGGTTGAGTGCACATTAACCAAACTTGGGATATAGACGCTCCTAGTACCTAAGCTACACGAGTTTATTTCATTTTTTTGTACCATTTTCAATCAAGACTTAAAATGACGAATAATTTCAACAATCATGTTAGAAGCATGCTAATTCTCTATAGTTCGATTACCACTTGGCATGCGATTTTTGGATTAATTGGCGACATAGTATGATCTAAGACTTTTACTTTAATTTTCTGCAATATACATATACTGCTTAAATGCGTTTTCTGAGTCTTTGTTGCTGCTCCATATCTCAACAATTTCTACGTGCCCAGACACGAGTTTGGCTGCAATTCATTGTGAGATCGATTTTAAGAATTACAATTAAGTGTTTTGAAATTTATACAAATTTCTTCGATTACCACAGAGCCTGTTATTGGTTGTCAGGGGATTATTAGGCCACCACCGGTGTCTAAATTTCATTCCGTCGCCACCGCAACCGCCACCGCCACCGCCACCTCCACATTCAGCCGCCCACAGGCTGGCCACTCACCATAAGAGTACTCGTAACTATCATTTGCTTTGAAACCACAGACAGCTAGCTTCTAAATTGCACTTAATAACAGCGGCGCAAAAAGAATCTAAACACATGTATTAATGAAGGCCCCACAGACAATTCGACCATTCGGGAGCGTGTGCTGCTGTCCCAGCTGGTGCCCCATGCAATTGAGAATAATCGTCGTCTAGTGGACAGAATGTACAGTTAGATGTGATTAGATGACGACGGCGTTGTTCGGCGTGTTTTGTTTCATTGTTCGCTGTTGGTTGTTGGCTGTTGGAAATGTTTGCTTGCATGTCTTCCTTTGTTTTCCCAAATGGAAACATGAGTTATGAATGTGTATTTTATGTGATAGCGAGCCGAGTCTTGCACGGCGGACGTGTAATTAAGAAACGAGACGAGGCGACAGTTAGATGATCTAAACCAATTGGTATTACACATGTGCACTCGTATCTACATACATAAATATCAAGGTGTCAAGGGCTGCGAGCTGGCGAAGGTCAGTGACTCAGCAATGCTACATACATACATACATACTCGTCTGTACTCGTACGTTTAAGTATGAATGATTCTGAAATGATTCGCGATGCTCCAGCACTCTGTCAATATCAATTTTCTTTCCATCCTTTCTTGCAACCAATCGATTGTCACGATTAAAAGCGCACGTTTCTTTTAAATATTGATTAAATACACAATAATACTTTACCATTGATTGGGTTTTTTATAATCTTGTTTTAGTTGAACAATATTTTGTAATATATTTATATTCATGAGTTTTTTTGAGCTTCCGACAGAATACATTTAATTGTTTTTGTATAGGATAAGAATCACAGAAAGGTATATATTATATATTATACAATATATGATCAGCTTTAGAGCTAGGCCCTACAATTTAGCACCCAGGCTACTTAATAGGCTGGTATCAGGTCCAACAATTTCAGATCAGGAAAAAGATGCGTTTCAGAAGAATTTTTGTACCAAAAAGTTGTTTGTTTATAAATATATTAAATTTAAATTGCAAGTTTCTAAAAAATTCAAATTGGTTGTATAATTAAAGGCGCAGGATAGATCATCTGCGACGGGACTTCAATGAATGGGCACTCAAACCATTAGAAGTCGATCCACTTTTTCTTACCAGTGAGCAGAATTACTGAGTTCGACGCCAAGAAAAGAAAAGGTTATTTGTTTCAGATTAAAAAACGACCCTTAAATTTAACAGATTTACTAGTTAATTGAAACCTTTTCCAGGAGTTTTGGATATGTTCTAACCCCTCAATAACAATCTAAACTATTCCTCTCAGACCTGTTCCGCACTACTTCGTTGGGGACTATCTCTGATTGTCCGAAAGGATAATCATCGTTTACCTCAATACACTACATAAGTAGAAGCGTCTCTTTCTGCTAAAATAAAAATATTTTTAAATTGTGCTCTTAGTCTATGAGTATTTTGAATTCCACTACGCCATTATGTATTTTTAGATGTTACTGCATGGCTCAGGACCTCTCACAGTTGATACCGCCCCATTGCACCTCGTTGACTTTAGTCATATGGTTCTTGTGATCGAATTCATTAAGATGCTTGTCAACATAATTCGAGGCTCCAAGCCACCTTTAACTATGTCTCGTAGTGCTAAGTGTTATATCAGTGCGGTAAATCGTTGACTTGGGTTGTAGATAGATAGCAGAATAGCTTCAAATTAATTAGCTCTGTCCGTTTATCCGATTTAGTTACCATTCATAGAACTATTGAGTTGAAACTATTAACAGAAGCTCCTTCTTCACGTAAAAAAAAGTAGGCCATCATAATTATGATTCGTTACATAGATTACAATTATTGTTGCAGACAAAGATAGTTTGTTTTTCTTTCTATTGTGCTGGTATGAAAGGTGAATCGCCAGCGGATGTAGAGGCAGCTTAATCGAACATTGATTCACACTCATTGTGCAGAAGATGTATGGAATTGCAAGTGGGGACTCATATCTACGATGGTCTAATGGAATGTAAGAGCTGGCAACAATGTCTTCATTTACCTTCGCGATGGTTAGATAGCGGTACTGCTTGGAATGATTGTCGAGCAGCACTTGAGCTGGCGGTGCTCATCATTATGCCATATGTTCAGTCGCATGGATTACATCGAGTTCAAAAAAGTAACGAGCAGCGTTTGAAATATGCATGCAAACAATTTGTAGGGTAGGCAGAGGGTAGGGAATGCCCCTATACAATGGAGGGTGAAGGAACACAAAAATGTGGCAACAAGTGTTGCAGAGAGGGATTTACGAGCTTATAAATAACCTTGACATCGCTGGGTGACAGTGGAGGGTAAATGCGATTGCGATTTGGATTCGTTTGAAGCGCTTCTCAAATGTGCGCCAGAGCAGGGAAACGAGCCACACGGATGCCGGGCGACAGTGACAGCGACAAGTCAGTGAATGCTTCTATGGTTGGGTAGCGAGCGTGCAGGATTGCCGGTAGTACGGTGCAGTGTGAAGGGTGTAGGGTGCAGGGTGAAGGGTGTAGGGTGCAGAGTACGCTGCACTCAAGCGCACTTGTAATCAGATTTCTAAAAGCGTGCTGCATACTTTTTAGCGTTTCCTTTTTTTCGTTTTTAAGTTGTTTTTTTTTTTATTTTTTATTTTGGGGTTGTTAACCCGAACGCGACCGAGCGCAAGGCATTGCGCGACTGTTGCATAAATGGATGACCTGGCGGGCACAAACAAAAACAGTAACAGACGGCGCACATCGCTACCTGACTGCACGACACGAAAGTCCAGAGCAAAAGGGAATGGGCAAGAGTGACTTTGCGATGCTCTGCAAACTCAAACCGTGCGGCGAGTAAAGGGAATATTTAAGAGATTCCTTCCTGGGCCAACCACTTGACACCATTTTGTATCTTGTCTTCAGACAGTGTATAACCTAAAGGCCTTTGTAATAAAGAGCATTTAAAATTGACCTTTAGCAATCAAATAAAACGATGGAACTGGCATTCGAGTTATCTAAACCGGATCTATCTAATGATCTAATATATTTAGCTTAAGCTCTGGGATTCAAATATAAATTATAGTGAATTATAGAATTCTTCTATGTAGTATTATTTATACCTATTATTTTTCGAAGATTTCTAAATCTATTAATAATTATATTCCCTTTGGATTTATCATTTTCTAGTAGTTTCAAGGTTGGTTTCCAAATTCGTGATTAATTTTTATTTTCCATACTAAGCAATTAAGCAAAAGCGATTACCTCGCGCATCTAATTTCAAAATCAAGTGCTTAAATGCAGATGCTGTTGGATAATCTTGTAGTCAGCATATCACGGCATTTTTCACTTCTAGCGAGGCCTAATTTCCACACAACGACTCTGTGGTCGCTGGAAGGTAACAGCGCCTGATGTGGGGCGACAAAAGAAGTGATGCAGAAGGGGCGGCGATGCGAGGCGCTGGCTTGCATATGGCCATTAAATCGCTGCCCATGCAATATGCAATGAATGCCGCTAGATAGCCCACGACCGCACCCACAAGCCAACGACTCTCAATTGACCCATTTCAGACGCTTGGCAAACACAAAGACAATTTTCACAAAAATGCCAAATAATGGGCGTGGCAATGGCCAGAGCGCACAAGCGCAAGGATAAGAAGTCCCATTACCACTACAACTACCGCTACCACTCCCAGTCGCAATCGCAATAGCAGTCGTAGTCGTAGTGGGAGTCGCACAGTTGTGCTCATTGTGACAGTTGGGAAGGCGCAGGCTGCAGGCGACAGGTGCTGCATAAGGGCAGGACAACAACCTGCAGAATCTTTTTGTTGCGCAATTTGTTCTTTATGGGCAGCCAATCATTGCCAGACACGCTAGCGTATACGCACTCTGAATGCCGCATATGCCGCATACGTCGCATGTGCCTCGTTGCCAAACACAAGCCCGGGCTCGAGCTCTGGTTCTGCTTCTGGCTCGGTGCGGTGCGGTAGCCAACTCGACCCCAGCCAAAGGCACGAAGCGCAAGTCTTGTGAGGGTGTTGCACTGGAAACGTGATGTTTAATTAATGCAAAGTGAGGCAGGCGCAACATGCAACGAAGCGTACGAGGGGGAGGAGAGGTCGATGTAGCCATGCAACATGCGATATGCGACTGGCAGCGTCGAGTACGAGTACGAGTACATGAGTTAAACAGTTTCGGCCGAGCTATTAGCAGGAAACATAAGTGGGAGACAGACACGATGATGTGGGCGCCAGGCGATTTTCATGCAATTAATGAAGTGCATGAAGGAGACAGATAGAAGCAACATTGAGGCAGACAGTTAGGCAGACAGTACGACAGCGGGATAGACAAAAGGACACTGGCATGGACACATAATACTCGAATGAATGTGGAACGCGAATGGTGAGTGGTTATAATCGATGTACGTACTATATACGAGTATATAATACTTGTGTGTGCTGATACTTAGCGAGCACTCAACGGAGCTCGCAGGCAACAAACGTTCAGCAACCGGGTATTTAGCTAAATGCAGGCACTGTGGAGTTAGCTGAACTTAAAGCCTCTACCAAATAACGATTGCAGTGAGTTTAACCAAAATGATTTAATAATTGGGGCTGTAATTGCAAAACATAATGTTCATCTATTTGGAATTGAGGGTCAACTTAAAGGGATGTCAATTGCAGGACTTACTTTAAATAATTTCTACATATCTTAAAATCTGCACAATGTAAGGCTTTCATAGCACAACCCTGTATCGCTATTTATTATCATGACGAATAGACCTAAAATTTTGTTCAAGAAAGGTTGGCGTATTTCCAATAATCCCCCTTGCTGAAGGAAATCAGATGTTAGACTATCGCTTGAGCCATTGCTAGATTTAGGGTGTCAGTTATCTTACCTTGTCTGCTCCTTTTGAATAGCTGCAGCTGCAGCCGTCTCCGCGGGTCCGCTAGCTAACTGTGCCAGCTTGGGAGGACTGCTGACTAGGGGGGGACTATAGACCCGTGGTGGTGTCGTGATGCGTGGCGGACTGTGCATCTGACGTGGCGGGCTTTTGGCCAGTTCTGGTGGTGGACTGCGCATCAGGGGTGGAGACGGCATAACGGGCGCACCCTCACCTACAGGTGGGCTCTGCACCCGCTCTACAACAAGTGGTGAACCAGAACCACTGCGGTGTGATCCGGACTTTATGGAGAGCACTGGACTCTTAACCGATTTGAGGGAAGCTTGTGGCGAGAGCACTGGTGGTGGTGCGGCTGCAGTTGTTGATGCTATCGATGCGGCTGCTGATGCTATGGAACCAGCACGAGAACCCAAGCTACCACCGCGTACGCTGCCACTGCGTGAGGCGGCACGACTGCCGATACGTGAGGCGTTGATGCTGCTGCGACTAACGCTTCGACTGGGCACACGACTATCTTGCTTGGGTGAACCATCGGCACGTCGCCCTCCTGCAGCGGCAATGGCTGCGGCAATGGCACCACTGGTCGAGATGATGCCACCGCTGGCAATGCTTGCGGCACGTGGTGAGCTTATGCTGTCAGCTGCCGGCTCATCATCATCAGCATCAGCTTCATCCCCTCGCGTGAGCGATATCTTATCCACGGATAGGTCATCGGTCTCTACTTTGGTTAACTCCTCCTCATCCGCTTCGTCCTCATCCTGTTCGCTGGCAACACGATCTTCTAAGCCAGCTGGTGGTGGCACAAAACCGTTGGTAACAGCTGCATCTTCCTCGAGCTCCCCAAAGTGCTCTGGCGGAGGTGCAATGATCGATGAAGCCGAATAACCATTGCTAGGTGGAGTAGTTATTGTGGTGGACTCATCTTCGTTGTCCAGGGATCGACTGTACTCCTCGGCGGCCAACTGCTGGCCCCCACTGGTGGCAGGCTGCTCCGGCGGTGGTTGCTGTGTCTCGCCAACAGAGATCGGCGGCGAGACGCGTGCTCCATGATGTGGCAGTGGTGGTGGCGAATTGGGTTGCGACTGATCGCTCTCAGAGGATGGGGTCAATGGTTGTGTCTGTGCGACACGCTGTGGTGGTGGTGAGACCATTTTGGATAACTGTGGGTACGGCGGTGGTGTAGCCGGTGGTGATGGTGATGTGGAGGGTGATTTGGTCAGTGGCGGTGTTATGGGTGCCGAGGGCAGCATGCCAGCTCCTGTGCCCTGCACATATGACAAATTTGAAGGTAGGGGTGGTAGTGGTGGTGGCGGTGTTGATTTCTCTTCGTCCTCATCGTCATCGGCCTCCGATTCGGGTGCCATTAGTGCCTGACCTCCGAGCGAAATTTGAGCTACTTCACCGTCTTCTTCCTCCTCTTCTGCTTCATCACCAGCCTCATCGGCATCATCTGTCTCATCATCGGTGCGCAGTCCGGCATCGTCCATGGGTGAAAGCGGCGGCGGCGGCGGTGGTATGAGTTCTAGCACCGATGTTGTTGGTGAGGCTGGCGGAGAAGTGGCATCCAGACTTAGCTGCTGTGGTGGCGGCGTCGGTGGCATATCCTCCGTCTCCGTAAGCGTGGGCAATGGTGTGGCCATGGAACTCACTGTAGGTGGTGGTGGTGCCACCATCATTAGCACCTCCTCGCTCAGAGTCAGCGGTGCTGTGGCTGTGGGAAGTGGTGGTGGGGGCACCACCGCTACTCCACCTTCTACCCCTGGTAGGGCGGCAGGCAACTGACTGTTATCCACCTCCTCGATATCCGAATCGATGCCCTGTGCAAAGTCCATATAGAAATTATCGCGCGAATCGCTCGACCCGCGTCGCAGCTTCAGCGACAGGTCTGGTGAACTATCCATGTCACGTACTGGAGCTTCGACTCTTTTTTCGATCCCTGTCGAGCTCAAGTCTCGATCGGTTTTACTGAATTTTGTTTACGCTTATGATTTTGTCAGTTAAAATTACGTTTCCACTTTTTTTACATAAAAAAAAATCCGTTGCACTTGCACCCACACCGACGTACACTTCGGTAGTCACATACGAGTAGGAGTGCGCATCACTTTCAGCTGGATTTTCACTTCCTGTTTTTTATATATTCTTTTTATTAGCACTGGTTTTGATTGTTTAATTGTTTGTGCTTAAACACCCTTTTTCGCTAGAGTTTTCAATCGAAATTCACATCTAATTGCTCTGCATTGTTTTTGGTTTTGCGCTATCAAAAACATTGATTACAATTTGACACATACACCCAGACATTTTGTGTATCCTTAAACGAAGTCCCTTAACCACACATACAGACATACACAGAGAAGCTGGCAGCCCGGAAAAATCATCAACAGCCTCACGCACACACACTCCCTCAGCGTTGCCTCAATTTCGATTCGGTTTCAGTCTCACAAACAGTCTTCTTCTTAGCCTCCCTCATCTTCCCTCTTTTTTGGTCCCTTTCGCCTTTGGTGTCTTGGTGGGGGGTGGGGGTCTTTGTTCTGGCGTTCTTAAATTGCAGCAATTGCATTTGCTACGCATTTCGGTTTTTACGCAATGAAATTGCGTATGTTAGAATATACGTACATATGTACGTATGTAAGAACCCCCTACTCCACCTACCGTACTCACCAGGGCAAGTAAGTGCGTAATAAGGAGGACGCGGCAAAAAAAAATAAAACAAAATAAAACAACCCTGCCCAGAAATGCGAGCTGCTGGAATATTTGTAACCGGTTGAGGGTTAAATGTAAAGTGCCTATTGTTCTTGTTTGTTTTGTTTGTTGCGTAGTTTGTAAAGCGCGGCGCCAACAACGAACGTGACTTACTGACCAATGTTTCCTTAGGAAAGAGACCCACACCCTCACTACCATTTTCGAAAATAACGGCAAGTGCTGCTGTTTGGTACGAGTGTGTATAAATGTGTAAGAGTGTGTGTATTGGCGGCATACATATTATATACATAACTTTTTCTATGCCAATACGCAGGATGCTGAGCAATAATAAAAAGCAAAAATCAACAACTCACATGTATGTAAGACTTACATACATACACATGTGCCTACTCCGCCTTGTCAAAGCTCTTGGCTTGCGTGTGTATGTGTACACCAATTATTGTGTGTTTTAATGTCGGTTGGGCGGGCAAGCGGGCAGTGAACCGCACCTGCTAAAAAAGAAGCAACAGCCAGCTACAAGTCACACGTACACACTCATATACGCACGCACAAAATGCCGTTATTATTAGTGTTTCCGGTGCTTGCTAAAGTAAAAATCAACGCATCTCACACATAAATATATGTATGTACATATATACATACATGTGTACCTATGTATGTGAATGAAGTGTGTACACACTTGCCCACCCACACACGCATGCACGCGAAATTTTTGCGATGTGTGAAAATTATGCGAATATGTCAGTCAAGAAATCTGAAACTGTACACACTATCTTAAGTAATTCTACATACATATGAATGTATTGATATACACAACATTATTTGTCGATCTGAGGTTTAATCTTTTGGTTCTGTTTCCTTATTAGTATTGTAGTTTTGTCAATTGAACGTGTACCGTTGCCGTTACCGATACCGTTACGCACGCACACATTCGTTTCGCTACGCTTTGCTTCTTCGGTTTTTGGCACGACGACGACAAGGACGACCGGAGTGCCTGTCGCTTCAATTTTGTTCCTGCTGCGTCGGCACTTAATTCTAGAATGAAACACCATCGCGAAACAAAAACGTTTCGCCATTGCCGCGGCCGTCGTCTATGGCAACAGCTTCTCAGCAGCTCAGCCTCTCGTTGATGAAGAGAGAAAAATTGAGATTCGTTGAGAGTATCATAGTTGTGTGGCACAGTTGTGTATGCTCCCTGTGATGCCGCAAAATGTGGAAAAACAGAGAGAGAGAGAGAGTTACATTGAGCTGTTAGTACTGCTGTTCCGTCAGCAACCTGGTAACGGAAATGGAAGTGGAAGTAGTGTGCGCGCGTTTCTCTCGACAGCGGCCGCTTTGTGCTGGAATTTCGCATAAATATATACATATATAATTATATGTATATATGCATGTGTATACTTATGTACACGTGTGTATGTATGTGTGTACTGGGGAATTCCGTTGTTTTACCCTTTTTGCAAAAATCGTGTCAACCCGCCTCTAGCTACAGAACCTGCCAAGGAAGAAAACAAAAAGCGAATTATGCTTCTGGTCTTACGAATTTAAGCCAATGGGATTGACATTTAAATTAAGCGTAAATGTTTATGTAATGTAGATTGAGAACAGGCAGAAATGGGCTAAATATATACGGTGTTCGGCAAGTAGCGATATAATCCTTTGCAGAGTTCAAGGAGCAACAACATTTGAGTATACATATGTATTTGTTTTCAGTTTTAGGCGCCACTTGACACACATGCTAGCTTGGCACCAAAATAGGAAACTATGGACACACTATTTCTGCTTGTGGGAAAATGCTGAAAGAACATTAACTAATATGACCAATAACGATGGAAAGTTATTTTATTTACTACAATATGACTAAATACAATAATATTCATCCATATGTTCGGGAAAATCAAATCATTCCAATTTGTGGCAAATTTCAGTTTAAGAAATGCGCGCCGTGTTTCAGTGCTGCCTAACGTAGACTCTAGTGCTGATAAACGTTGCAGTCATTTTGTATTTATGCCAATAAAGTGCAGTAATTTTATGATTATGCAATATGGTCACACTTACCAATAATGAAAAGAAAAGAAATTTGTTGACAAATTAGATTTTCACAATTTATATTAAATTCTTACGTGTGCAAACAAATGTTTAGAAGTCGCACCTTTAATTGCACAGGCGAACGAACGCAAGCACAATGAGCTCGCGCAGATTGAGGGAGGGGCCAATACTCAATTTTAAGGCGGTGCTCATGGGCGAAGGTGAGTATGTGCGTATAAGAACGCAGGTGTCGTGACGATAATCAGTATTTAATTAATGTGATTATTTCTTTCTGCAGGTTGCGTGGGCAAAACCTCCTTAGTGTTACGCTACATGGAAGATAAATTTAATGCACAGCATTTGAGTACGCTGCAGGCAGCGTTTGTGACCAAAAAGGTGACGCTGCCGGATGAGCGTCGGGCACAGCTAAACATATGGGATACCGCTGGACAAGAACGCTACCATGCACTCGGTCCTATTTACTATCGTGGTTCGGACGGGGCACTGTTGGTTTATGATATAACCGATCACGACTCATTCTTAAAGGTGAAGTCCTGGGTACGGGAGTTAAAGCAAATGCGCGGCAGCGAGATTGTGCTGATCATAGTTGGCAACAAGACTGATCTAGAAGAGCAGCGCGCTGTTGTTTATGATACAGCCACGCAATATGCGCGCACTGTGGGCGCCCAGTATATGGAGACGTCTGCCAAAGACAACGAAGGCGTTAGTGAAGTATTCGAGTTGCTGACACAACTAATGATCGAGCATCATCATGGCAAGCAGGAAGATGAACCAAATTCGTTACGCCTTCAGAGTGGCGTGACAACGTCCAGTGCGCGCGCCCTTGTCGTTGGTCCTTTGGATGATGCTGATCCAGCCACTATGCTGGATCGTGGTCCGGCAGCCTCGGCCCATCGCTCCTGTTGTGGCATATAGGATGCGCTTTCTGGCGTCGCCCATTGTGATAATACCCATGTACTAATAGATTTGTAGACGATGTGTGTATCTGTATATATATATATATATATATATATTACGTGTATTTATATGTATGTACGTCTTTATCTGTTATGAGTGATTTCTATATTTTCTTTCGCATGTAAACTACCACCTAAAATGCTCCAAAAGTTAAACAGCTTTCTATTCCATTTTCTATTTTTTTTTGGCACTTCGTGTTTGTTCTTTAAAGGTTTTTGAAAAATTAAAAATTTAGTAAAGTATGCGTCACGCATTTGCACTTGTGATCCGATCCGGATAGCCATTATCTATGTGTTTGTACAGCTCTATAATATGTGTGCATGTGAGTGTGTTTTGATTGTTCGTTGCAGCCGATAAGATACAAATTGTGCCTCGAACTGCTACGCCCACAATATTGGGCGTGGTAAGCAAATAAGCGCTAATTAACTTGTGTGCCCAAAATATAAATAAAAGACAACGAACATATTTAGCTAAACAGCCTTGTGTGCACAATTCAATCGGAACTTATGAAATAGAACAATGGGTGTTTCATTCGTTGCCTTCCACCGACAGATCCACTACTAGTCTGGTTGTTTCGATTGCTGGGTTTGGTTGTTTGGAAAATTAGATGGAAAATGCGCAAACGCAGGCTCGACCAAACACAAGTAGTATTTAAACGCGGTCCCGCTATCAGAAGGTCTTTGATTCAAATATTAATGTGGAGCCATCGCAGTCGCAATGCTTCCAACTGTCGATGCCCGGGAGGTGCTTCTGCAGTCATGTGCAGATGAAGAATAATTCGGAGCAGGACAAAAAACATATTTGTAAGTTCTCTTTCTGTTTAATCAAAGCATGGAAGCCGTGCATTCAGATTAGCACATTAACAATTAACGAGGATTAATAAGTTGGTGGTGGCTTATGCTTATCTAAATGTTTTGAAAAAACCTAATCGTTTCAGTCTTCGCAAAGGTCTGGCAGGAAGGAGTCCTCTTGCAAGCAAACTGCGGTGCCTCAGAAGCCTCTCACTGTATCTACTTGTATGCCTTCCAATCTGCTACTCCACGGTGAACAGGTTTAGGTCTCGGTGAAGGGTCGAGCCGCGCACGTAACAGGGGCAGTTGGTAGGAAGGTAATTATAAATATTTGTCATTTGTATCTGTCTAAGGTTTGAGCCGCCGGACAGGATTCGAGGGAGCAGCTCTGGTCATTAACATGCTACGACCATGTCTAGCGGACACATACATACTTGTACATACATATATTGAAGATAGTTACGTCCCATGGCTATGCACGTTCATGTATGTATGTATGTATCTCTGTATGTAATTAGATAACTATTAAATGGCGCATTCTCTTTTTTATTAGCCATTAACAAATAATTTGCTTACCATTAATCAATTGGTATTATTCGCTTTCCACATATATACATACATATGTATGTACTTGCATATTTATAACGCATTATACCCCAAAACCAGTCTGCTCTCGCCTCGCCCACTTGGCTAATGACCCTGTCCAAGGCAAATGCAAGCGCGAGGGCCCAAGAACCTTGTGTGTTCAAAATTTCTGGGTCGCCAATTCACTTATTCAGTTGAGTGTTTGTGGACAATTTTAAGCTCAACTTGCACACAAAACATACAAACAAACATGTGTGTATGAATGTACAAGTATATGTACTATATATCTAACAATAAATGCCTAACATATGTATTTCCACAGGTGCAACCTCAAACACAACAAAAATGTGAAATGACTAGACCGTCGTCGACAGTCGCTGATGAAACTTTTGCATGCGATTTGTGACGGACCATCGGTCGATACGACGGAGGGCAGCGTGGGATTGTGAGCAGAACTTGCATATGTGGATATGTGGAGTTCAGTCAATTACAGCCAACAGCGACAATTGTTTAAAGTGGAAAAACACACGCATCACATGGTCGCCGTTCTCACGCCGACCCACACAAAAACGAACTAAAAATTCCCTTCAACACTAAAGCCGATTTGGAATTCAAATTGCTTAATTCGGTTTGTTCTGATACATTGTGGATGGCGGAGCAAACATGAAGCTGCTCCTGTTGGTTCTGAAAACGATGCTCGTTTATGGATTCGTGTCTTTGTTCGCTCTGTTGACGCACATCATTCGAAATACTTTAAAGCTTCTGCATTCGTTTCAACTGTGATCTAACCTTAAAGCTGAGTGAGTGGCCAATGAAGTGATATTTACAGAAATAACAACTAATTCTTGTCTGCAGTTCGGGGATCTTTACTTTGCCGTATAGTCTGTATTGTGTCGCATCGTTCTGCCGCTATGATGATCGCGCAACCAATCAGGTTTGTAATTTAGCTTTCATTTTAGGTATCTTATGAAATTTGTGAATGTACTCTTTTTTGGATTCCCACATTCATCGTTAATTGTTACTTCCTAACCAAATATTTCAACTCTGGCTTTACAATTACCATTTGATGAAAGCACCAACACAAATTCACTTTCAGAATTTGAATTTAGATTTCAAATAAGTTGACCATAACAGAAATTATCGCGGTTTGAATTCGTTTACTCTTGAGAATGGCCTTTATTTCGGTATCCAACAACATATAGGAATAACGTTAATTTCGAAAAGAGAAAATTCTTTGGGCTTTTGCAGCAATGTATTTAACGACATGGCCAAGGGAAGCTCCAGAAGATGAAGCGAGAATCTATCTACCTATAGTGGGAACTAGAAAATAGAAAATATGTGTAGTTCTATTTAATTATGTAACTATGGCTCTTCTGTAGTTGGGGTCGCTATTTAAATATGTTATCGCTGAGATACAAAAGAAATTTTTTACTTAATTTGTCATCTGACTGCAAGATTGAAGGTATTAGAAGCAAACGGACTCAGCACTTTTGATACAACATTGATATCAGAAATGTTGTGAGCTGTAGCCTGATAAGTTTCTTTTAAAAGTACTTCTTACTTTATACAAAGATTAAATAATAAAATAATAATTATCATTATATAATGCATTTCCGATATACCAGCAAACATATATAAAATGAGTATATATTTACTTTTTTGTATGTCAATCTTTTCGCTTCCTATTTACCTAATTTGTAATCAAAAGGCGGCCTCTTTTGTGTATGATAAAAACTCGTGAAATCATTTGCTTACTCACCGCCCGTATAAAATAATTGAAAACAAGAAAGAGAAGAACGCTGAAGTAAAGCAGGCTCAGCTCTTAAATACGCTGTACCTCCTACCATAAGGGAAAAAATGAAATTTTTGTTTAAAATGATTAATTATTTAATTAAATTAAATACAAATTATTAAATACATATATAAAAAAGTGGAGACATGTACATGTACACTTTCAGAAACGTGTCTCTGCGTGTTTATATGCATGTTTCCAAAAATTACGGGAGCTATGGAAAATTGTGAAGTGGGGGGTGCATCAGAAAAAATGAACAAACACGTCATTTCTCGGGCTTAGGAGAATCTGGATACCAAATTTGGTTATTCTAGCTCTTATACTTTCTGAGATCCTTGCGTTCAGACGGACAGACAGACGGACGGACATGGCTATATCGACTAGGCTTGTCATCCTGCTCAAGAATATGTATACTTTGTGCGGTCTGCCACGCCTCCTTCTGTGTGTTCCATGCACACTCGCAAAAAACTAATATACCCTTGTACCCTTTGGGTACAGGGTATAAAAATACTGGTGTGCTAATGACAGCACGATTTATAACAGCATTAATTCTTATCATTATTATAATGCTCAATGGACTTATGCGAGTATACATATATCTATGCTTTTCAGGTGGACTTGAGCAATGCTTATCAAATCGGAAAGCAAACACGTCAATGGGGAATACACGCGAGTGCTGTTTACCTAATTGGCGACACGTCCCAAGCAGTGGATGGCCTTTGAGACCATTGAGGAGAAACTGAGCAATAGAAAGCAAACAATGTGCTATCTGGTTGACAATAAAACAAACGTGCTGGAATTGGAAAAGTTCAGTTAGATGGGTTCGTCTTTGGTTAGTAAGTCAATGAGTTGGAAGTTGGCCGCAGCAGCGATAAAGCCACAAGACGAAGATTCAACGTGCTCGACTAAATCAGCGTCCACTGGTGGGCGCTCTTTTGCTGCTTCTCTGCTTTGGTGTGTTCCTGTGTCTGCGATGTCTCAGCAACACTCCTCTTGTCAATCAATATGGCATCCTGCGTGCCACAATTGCGGAATCCAAAATAGAGGACTCTAATATACGAAGCATCTTGCTCTGGACCAGCTTTTTTGGTGATGAGCGTTGGAAGCTATCGAAAGATACGTTGGAGCCGGAACAATTTCGGGATCTGCTACATTGTCCGATCCATCAGTGTCTGATTAGCAACCGCCGTGACTTGTTGCCCAGCATTGAAGACTACGATGCCATCGTATTCCATGTTGCCGAACCATTTTCGCTGCTTCATTCTGTACCTGCACGACGTAAGGCGCATCAGGCATATGTATTTGCCCTGATGGAGCCGCCTGGTGAGACGAAACACCGACTGAGCGATGAGCGCTTTTTCTACAACCTAACCATGACCTATCGGCTCGACTCAGACATTGTCTGGCCCTATTCGGAACTAGTCGAAATGGATACAGGTACATTGGTGGCGCCTACTGCGGAGCCCCATTGGCGTACACCGCCTGCCAACTGGCATGATGCGGCCGCGTGGCGTCTTTGGTTGGGCAAAACGAAAATGGCCGCCTGGTTTGTCTCGCATTGTGACACGCTGTCGCAGCGTGAGGGACTCGTCGCTGCGCTACAGCAACAACAGATTGCAGTGGACATTTTTGGCAAGTGCGGGCCACTGAGGTAAGTACCGTGGATTTCAAAAAAATGTGCAAATCAAATGCTACTTCACTGAAATTGATTTTTTTTTTCGTTAGCTGCGAGCTTGGCGATGCCCACTGCGGTGACATGCTGGATACGGACTACAAATTCTATTTTGCCTTTGAGAATTCCCTATGCACGGACTATGTGACAGAGAAGCTGTATCGGGCGCTCCAGCACTATGTTATCCCAGTAGTATTTGGGGGAGCCAATTACACTCGCTTCCTGCCTCCTTATTCGTACATCGATGCCGAAAACTTTAAAAGTGTTGATGACTTGGCGCGCCACTTACAGCTCGTAGCCAATGATGGACGGGAATATGTGAGATACTTCTGGTGGAGGCGTTACTACCAACTGACATATATTTCGCCCTTCTGCGCGCTTTGTGCTCACCTACACAGCCCGGGAGCGCGGTATAGGACACAGTTCTATGACAACATAGAGGCTTGGTGGCTCAACAGTTGCCGCTTCCATACGAACATTCGCTTCTGAGAGCGTACACACATGAAAGTGAAAGAGACGAATGCACAGAATATGCCACAAAGCGAGAAAGTACGAGCAACCATGAGAAAAACTATATCAAAACTTAAACTGATTTGAATATGAGGCTAAATCGCAATAAGTTTAGGAATTATTTAAGTTTCTACAGCCCCCAAATTGTTTAAATGTTCACATATTTAAATGCACCACTTTGTTAGGGATTATTGTATTTGTTATGAGTGTATTACAAAGATAGTACAAATATAGGGCAGAAGTGATACTAATATATTTCGCATATTCAGCAATAATTTAAGGCTGACCGACCCATACATATCACAACTAATTGTCACAAAAGCAATACCTCAATAACCATAAATTACTGGACTCATCAATAAACAGGAAATCCACACGATTCCATGGTGGATTCAATCGTACTCTGAACCATAAAATTTGTAATATAAGATATAAAAGAATATTTTGTATATTAAAAAATTGATATTGGAAGAACATTTTTGTTATCCACTCAAAATGTCATAGTTTAAAATATTTAAATTTTTAAAATTGTTTGAAACTATATCATAACGCCTTTTTATTGAAGAAAATTTAGCAACATCAACAATATGTAGACTTGAATTGATCGGTTCGGTTCAAATCTGCAATTAATTAGTGTCCTCAGATATTCCAATAAAATGAATCAGCCAGAGAATATGCCAGAGTTAAGCAACCGATTGATTTAAAAGAAATTTAAATTGAAATGTGTATATCAGACAGAGCGAGTAGAATTTTAGAGCCACGTAGTCGTTTATATCCCCTAGATGGAGTAGGGGATTAGCAATTATTTGAATTTAGTTACAAAGGGCAGAGATTATGGCAACCCCTTCCTTAACCATAAGCTACTAATAGAATATTTGGGACCTGGGTAATTGGACTCAAAAAAAATGCGATTTCAAAATTTAATCGAAATTTAAAATTTACAGAAGGTATAAAAAACCACTTTCAGCGGGGATTCTAACTTTAATACTTTTCGTACATTTAAAAAAAAAAATACATTGCAGAGGAGTGGAGGTTCATCGAAAAAAGAAAACTGAAACTGGTTGCTTTCCAGATTAAGGAGTGCATGCCGTGGTGGCTCAAACTCTAATACTTTTACAGATCTTTCTGTGCACGTCTCGCCTTGTCATTGCGATCGAGAACATACATATATACGTGGTCTGTTGAATTTTTTTTGAAAAATATGTATTTATTCATTAATATTCCTTTTGTGCCATTCAAAGTAATCCTCACGCTTCTTGGATGTTACAAAAACTGAGCGATTACAAAATACCTTCTTTCTCTTCGGGGACAAGGTATAAAAAGTATTCTGAAGTGTATTGTAATCTTTAGCTATATCATGATTCACTATTTCATATAACTTGATTTCTAAAAAAAAAAATTGTAAATAGAAAGATTTGCTAAACAAGTGATTAACCAACCATAACTATAGCTTCTGTACTATGTTATCTTTTTATACCCTGTACCCGTAGGGTAAAAAGGGTATATTAGGTTTGTGCAAAGTATGTAACATACAGAAGGAAGCATCTCCGACCCCATAAAGTATATATATTCTTGATCAGCATGACGAGAGAAATCGATCTAGACATGTCCGTCCGTCTGTCCGTCGGTCCGTCCGTCTGTCCGTCCGTCTGTCCGTCTGGATGAACGCGAGGATCTCAGAAACTATAAAAGCTAGAATAACCAAAGTTGGCATCCAGATTCTCCTAGGTCCGAGTAAGGACGAGTTTATTTTTTTTTTTTTAATTTTCCCCCCCTTCCCCCGCTGCAGAATTTCGTCAATAGCGTCCACATTTCAAATGCTACCTAAACCAAACTTTGCACACATAATTTAATTTAATTTAATAATTTCCATGTGCACTCGCACAAAACTAATATACCCTTGTACCCTTTGGGTACAGGGTATAAAAATATGTTCGATAATATGATAATGATCTGACATGGTCGGTGTCGACATATTACTTGTCCGTTAAAATTAATTCTCGGTGCTAAGTTTAGTAACATCGCGAGCTAAATTCGTCATGCTGATCAGATATGTAAAATACTTGTATGTATCGAATACATGGAATCTTTCTTCCTTCTGGGCATACAAAACGAACTCTTACACTTTTCAGTGAAGGGTATGAAAGCTGCCTCGAACCTGATCGGATTAAAAACGAAAGCGGTTCTCTTAACGAATTATTAACAATTTAATAATATTTTCTATGAAATATATGTATGTGTAGAGCGTTGGTTTCTTGTTTTCAGAATAACTAAGGAATCTGAGAATGTGAGCTCGTTCCTGAGTAGGCACCCGGTTCGAATCACGCCGCAACCATCATGAAAAGAAACATACAACAACGTACAAAATGTAAAAGTTATCATACAATTTTATAATTGTCCAATCTAGGACAGATCTTAAATAAATATTAAATATTAAAAAAAAGAATAACTAATAAAAGGTTAAATCTTTATTCTTTTTTGGTTTCAGATGATTTCTAACTAAAGAAAGAGATTAATCAGAAATAAAATGTATCGGCATTTTTCAAATGGATCATCGTTAGTGCTGCGCGTCGGGCGTGTCACGCGTGCTGGCGCATGCGCTGTGTTCACGTACGTGACGTAGGTTTGGAAAATGTCAAGTGCAAAAAGCGTTGCACAGAAAAGCATTGTTGGTGCAAAAGCATTGTTGCAAGCGCCCACGCATTTGTTTAAAAATCGCCTACAAGCTGGCGGAACTCATCGACCGACACCGAACGACCGACAGGACTTGACGCTCGTCAGCTGTGCGGCTATTCGGTGGTGATTCGGCTCGCACGTGTGTATGTGGAGAGAAACTTTCGGTGCTTTTTGTTGTAGCTTTTGCGGGAAGCTTTAAAGGACATGGTAGCTAGCCCCAAAAAGCGTTTCCTCATGAATTTCTGTATTTGTACTCATTCTGTGTTAGATTTCCCGATAGTCCAAGTCAGAGAGGTAAAAAGAAAAACCGTAGAAATATTCTAAGTGACATTTCAAAGAAAAAAAAAAAAAAATACAATGAAATAAAAGAAAATTTCTGAAATATATATTTAGAAAATTCTGTGCGTCCGTTTCTGAACTGTGGTGTGAACATTCGTCCTTCGATTCCTCGACGACGCAACGAACTGAAATTGTTGAGTGTTGTTGGACCGTGGTTTAAAGAAATTGTTGTTAATAGTGCGCAAGAGTGAGACGTAAGTTGCATAATTCTCGTCGCGTTTGCCAAGACCAAAACCAAAAGCAAAACCAACAACAACCACAATTGTGAAAAGCCATGGACAAATACATACCAAACTTATCTGCTCGTCTTTTTTTTTATCTTGGTCTCTCTCCTATTTTTTTGTGTAAGCGCATGGAAAAAGCACGAAAATTGTTGTAACAAATGTTAAATGTTGTCAACGCTATTAACATGCGTGTGTGTGTGTGTGTGTATGTGTGAATAAATAATAAGAAAATTCATATAATTGAAAGTTATTGTTGACGCCTTCTAAAAGCGACAACCCACGCAGTTCGATTCAAAACGCAAAAAAACGGCAAGGAAAAAATAAATGAAAAAATTTCCCATGCGCTTGCGGAAAGTGAACAACGTGTAGCAATAAGTAAATGGATATGTGTGTGTGTGAATGATTGTGTGTCAGTGTATGTGTGTGTGTGTGTGTGTGGGTGAGCGTAGGCGCGGGTTGTGCTCTAGACTACATACGTAAGTGGCTTGTATTGAGCAAGTTCACACTTTCTCTCTTGCTTTCACTAACTCTCTCTACTTGGTGTGTCTAAGAGCCATCGATTTTTTCACAGAGCCGATGAGATACACCAACAATAACAACAAAAACGACAACAACAACAACAACAAAAACTACAGCTACAGCTAGAGCTACAGCAACAACTGCAACAGCGATAGCAACAACAAGTACAACAAGAGGTACTACTGCCCCCCATTTTCATTGACGCGTTTGTCCTTCTTTCTCTTTGTTTTCCTGCCCATTTTTCCACACGTTTCTTTAAATGTTTTTTTTCCTGCTGCCCTCCCACCCGCCTCACTCGATACATGTATTTCGTAATGTATTTCGTAATGTATTTCTAACAGTTTTCATGACTTCCGCAATCGTCAGTTCAAAGTAAGCGGGTGAAGAATCCCATAAGAAATTAGCATTCCACTCCTTGTCCACACTGCAAAATAGTGTGGCAAAATTTGTTTGGAATGGGAAGTAGTGGCAAGGTATGTTGATTTACCAATTGACAATTAAGGAGGTGGGTTTTTTTTTTTTTCAATTTATCATTTACAATTGCATACTTGAGGGCGCATGTTCAGGCAGCTTTTCCAACTGTCAGACTTATGTATAAACTTTTGTGTCGTAGTTGGTGTCGTTGTTGTTGTTGTTGTTGTGAAGTAACTTTCGGGGACAAGGTACTAGTATGTTGAAAAAGCTTTGTTATCCCACTGGCAATTTCATGTGTACACATCAGCGGCTCCCCGTAAAACACATTCTGTCGATGTGCCAGCGAAGTTAATGTCGAAACCCACCACTACTGTGAGTTAACGAGAGAAAGAGAGTTTGTGTGTGTGTGTGTGTGCGTGCGTGCGTGTCAGTGTGAGTCTGCCTCTCCGTGTGGGCCAGAAAGGATTGAGTTTTTTTTTTCGTGCAACACACACAGGAAAAACTTAAATTCAATAGATGCAATTAAATGTAAATGGTAATCGAATCGCAATAAAAGTGTTTTTAGATCTATTGGGAAAATTCTGGACATTACGAGGGTCAACTGCGGCGGTGAGTGCTACCGTAGGTAGAGTTACCCATGTATGTATATCAACCTTCTTTCATTGCATTGTAAATATGTAAAAAATTATGAAATAGTGAAATCCCTGCACTGCGATTCCCGTTTTGGTGTAGATTTGTGTGTTTAGCACGTGAAAAATGTTCATTTTGTTCATTATCCGACAGTTACAGCCGTGGTGAAAATATTTTTAATATATACGCGTATACTCGTACTATATATTCCCGTTTAAGGTCAAAGTACATTACAGTTCAGGGCCAGGACATGCATCATCTGTGGCTCATCGTCAGCATATCCGTAGCTTTAGCTGTTGCTTACATAATGCGTCTCAGGGCTTTAATCCCGGCCACCGCTTTCTCTCACTCATGTATAGCGTTACTTAGCATTCCATTAATCACCTGGCTCATAAATCACAATTTGTCATTTTTGCCTTTTGTTTTCGTGCTTTCCTTCACAGACCGATCTCGATGTCTCCGCAATTAGATAATGCTTAAGTTACCAAAAGGTTTAAAAAAGAAAAAGAAGAAGTCGAAAAAGGATCAAGAACTCTTCACCGAAGAGGAACTCGAGCAGTATAAGCGCGATCTAAAAGCCAAGCAGGAGGCGGCCGCCAACAAATCAGACGCTGGCGAATCGGATGCAGCATCAGACGTCGAGGGCGTAACATCATCAACAGCGTCCACATCGGCGGCAGGTGCCGCAGCCAAAGTAAACGCGTCCGCAGCTGCTGAAGCCTCCTCTCTTCCTACCCACGCAGTCGCTGGTGATAGTCATAACGCTCTTGCGGGTGCCACTGACGCTGGAACTAGCGAAGCAGACGAAGAATGGGCAAAGTTTAAAGCATTAACGTCCGGCGTCGATACTATATTACACAAGACCCAGGACGAGCTCGACCGCATCAAGAAGGAGTCTTTTTATCAGCGCTTACCTTCAGCTGCCGAAAAGAAAAAACAGGAGGAGGAGGAGGCAGCACGTCGAGAGGCTGAGCGCTTAGAGCGTGAACGCCAACGGGCCGCCGAGCTAGAAGCCAAGCGCGACAAACTTGCCGAGGCGGTTGTTGAGCTCTCCGAATCGGAAGACGAGCACGAGGAGGAAGTCGATGATATATTTGCCACAGACTATATTGAGGCAATTACCAGTGGTGAGGTACAATTGACAGTTGTTCCCGATTCACCTGTGCTTGAGCTTGACGACGGACCGGATCCTTTTGATACCGCTTACGCTGAGAAGGTTATTGTTGGTGCTGATAAGGCCAAGGGTAACAAGAAGCTTGTAAGTCTTGGTGCCGCTGTTGAGGTGCTTTCGGGTCGAGTAGACCGCGAGCACGCCCTTGCACTTGCCAATCCGAAACGAAAACTACGCAAAGGCATACAGAATTTGTTATTGAGCGAGAGTGTTGAGCTTGCTGATCCCGAGGCTGATTTTATCGCTCCGGAGCCACAGCATAATCTGCTAGACGATCTAGTTGATGATGTACCAGAGTCAGACGCGCCCATTGATTTAAGCGTATCATTGCATTTGCATCTGATCAAACCACAAAAGCTTGAAGAGGAAGAGGAGGAAAATACATTAGATCTTTCGTTTCATAGCAAGCCTCAGCCTACTGCTACAGGACCGTCGCTCAATCCAGATCTAGCCGAGTTCGATACACTCAAAGACCCTGAAGACGACGAGTTTGCGGAGCTAGCTGCCGAATCTTTAACCAAAAAAGACGAGATCAAGGTAGTTGATCACGTGGTTTTGCCACCCGTAGAAGTCCTTGCTCAAACTGTAGACGCCAGCTGGGCTGAGTTTGAACCGGATCCAAAGCACGAAGCAGGTAAATATTGCATAGCATGTCAGATTAATATAAACTGTACTTTATATAAACACTCATGTCTTGAATTTAAAGGAAAGCCTAAACGTCCGCCGCCACCCGTACGACCAGCTGCCGGACCACATATTGTGCCTGGTGCTATCTACGTCAGTGACGACGACGAGGATAATCTCGACGACGATCCTTTCAACACAGCTTACGCTGAACAAGTGATTAAGAAGACAACCGTACTAGAGGAAGACGACGACTTTGATCCGCGCGCAGAAGAGCCAGCCGAACCAGCAGGCCAATTTCTAGCTCAACCAAGTCGAGATCTCTTGGCTGGTAGTGCTTCAGATCTTTCGAAAGTTGGAGCAGCACCTATAGCGCCCACACTTAGTGTTGACAAAGAAAACGAAGACTTTGATCCATTTGACACATCAGCGGTAAGTGCGCTTGTACAGCCGAAGGCTACAGAGCTCAAGTTTCTTGAGCGAGAGCTGCTGCCCGAGGGAAGTCTTAAGCATTCGCTGAGCGACCCCGACTTTGATCCACGCGCCGAGGAGCCCGTTCCTACAGCGCCAGTTGTAGCGCCAGTTGTAGCGCCAGTTGTAGCGCCAGTTGTAGCGCCAGTTGCAGCGCCATCCAAGCCTACAGTTGCTACTATAGCATCGGCCAACTCCAGCATCGACTACGACACCGCACGCAGAAAGTCTTCCCTGAGTCTGAACATTCAGTCCAAGAGTGTGGGCTTTCTAGTGCCTGATCAGGATCTGCTTGGTGTTGGTAATGACGGTAGTGGCAACAAGAAGCCATTGACGCCCTACTACGCACCAACTGCTCAAACGATCTCCGAGAAAGAGTCAGAGGACCCCTTTGATACGTCGTATGTGCCAGAGTCCAAGCTATCGGACATTGAGTTGAAACACATTGAAGCGGATTTAATAGCCGAGTCCACACTTAAACACAGTCTATCGGATCCAGATTTTAATCCACGCGCCCCACCCACCCCAGTGCCCGCTGAAGTTTTGTTAGCTGTTGAGGAGAACATTAATATTAAAGTCCTCACGCCAGCGCAGGAGAGCAAAGATCTTCCGGAGTCGGAAGAAGTTGATCCCTTTGACACCTCTATTGCCGCAAATTTGCAGCCCGGTCGAACTGAATTGAAGCTTCTCGAAAACGAATTGCTACCGGAAAGCTCATCTGAAATAGTCACAGGTGTTTTAGACACGCAAAGCGACGCACAAGAGTTGGGTCTGGGCGACAAAGTTTTGACACCCTCAGTACCAGTAAAGCAGATAACCCTACCGGAGGAGGTTGATCCATTCGACACATCGATTGCTGAAAACCTTGCCCCTGGTGAAACCGAGATAAAACTGCTGGAAAACGAGCTGATTGAGCGATAAGGAGCATTTTAAAAAGCAACACAAAGAACAAAACACGACACAATGGCGAACCCATTTTTAATGGATGATGATCTGGGCGACGGTGATGTGGCTGCAAATCCTTTTTTGATGCAATCAGATACATCCGAAGCCGAAGCTGAGAATCCTTTTGCAGAGCAAACCTCCAATCCATTTGCTTTTGGCGATGAAACTGAGGGAGAGAACGTGCCAATCTCGGATATCGATCCGGCCATGAGTTTTTTCGGCACAACTATAGAAGCAGAAGACGATGCCCTCAGTATTAAGTCAACAGCGGAGGAGGAAGATGACGGCACAAAAAAGGGCCCGCCACCACGACCAGTGCCACCACTGACACAGGAGCTTATCAACACGGTTTCGAATCAAATGGAAGAGGCCAGTTCAGAGCTACTTGGGCGTATACCTGTCACTCGTTCACCTAGCCCTGTCTCTATGCGTGATCTGCACTCACCCAGCCCCACACCGGATTCTGGCCTAGCCGATTTGCTAGATGTATCCGACAGTGGGTCTTCGGCGAACACACAGGGCATGGATGTGGACTTAATTGCTAGTAATAGTGCGCACGATAATCCCTTTGGTGTGCCCACGGCCGTGCCTAATATACAAGGTGCCACGCCCATGCCGTCACCAGCCAAGCAACAGCCACCGCGCCCTCCACCACCAAGGCCAGTGCCACCCAGGCCAACTCCACCAGCGCCTATGGTAGGTCATCAGCCCCCACAGCGTCCTCCGCCGCCTTCGCAGCCTGCTGTAGAGCCTGCGGCTGCGAAAGCAGAAGCGGACGATCTATTGGATATGTTCGGTACTGCAAAACCAGCCAAGCCACCACCGCCAAAGACCAAAGAAGACATACTCAGCTTGTTTGAAAAGCCGACGCAGCCCGTTGTCAAACCAGACTTGCTCAACGATGACTTGGTGCTGGAGGGCGCTACCGGCGAGACAACGCTGTCGGAGGATGAAGATGGCAACAAGCGGGATGATCCTATTTTCACATCCACTCTGACTAGACCAGATGACAGTACACATGATATAACGCTACAGCCGCAGCCAGCCACGCTGGCCAACAGAAATAGCATAAGTGCTCCACAGGACACGACGAATAGACAGCGGGCACCAACACCCGATATTGAGATCACAACGGTAGAGGATTTGCCTCGATCAGATGATGAGGAGGAACCAGAGCCAGCGCAAAAGCCTGCACCATCTGATGTTCCCGCGGTGGTTGTGGACACTGAACCCAACCCAGCACCAGAAGGGCATGAGAATGAGCCAGCGGAATCGGATCAGAGTCCACCAACAGAGTCGGCAGCAACAACGCAAGCTGCACACGAGTCCACCAGGGAGATGGCTAGCGATGAGCCCGAGCAGATGGACACTGGCTTAGACTTTCCGGTTGCTACGAGCGGAATGGCTAGCGGGCAGGCCTCGGCCAATCCATTCGCTAGCCCTGAAGAGGACGAGCCACCATTTCCACCTGCCGCAACAACTTCCAACATCTTTGGCGCAGACGAAGCAGAACCATCGATCAATATTTTTGCCAGCACAGCGGAAACTGTTGTGCCTTCGCCTGCAGCACCCATCAACGTTTTCAGTGCTGAGCCCACGGCTGAACCGGCTGCCCCGACCTATACAACAAATATCTTTGCCCCCGAGCCGGATGAGTTCGATGCGTTCTCTGCCAAGTTCGATTCGGTAAAGAAGGATAATATAAGCATATTGGACGGTTTCGGTGGATCTGGCGCGATAACGCCAACTGGTGGTGATGGTAAGCATGTGGTGTTGCTTACATCAAAAGCGATACTTATAATATTATTTGCCTATTTTTAGCTTGGGGTGACAGCGCTTTTGGAGCGCCAGCACCGGTGGCAAATGCCTTCGCTGATACAGCGACATCAGATGGTTTTGGTAATGAGGACGATGACTTTTACTCGATGCAGGCACCAGTGCGATCCGAATCTGTTGAATCGGTGGAGAAGGAATTTAGTGTAGTTATCCGACCCAAGGGTGATGGAGCACAGGGTGTTGCTCCTCAGCTGGTTCCACCACCGCCACCAGCACGTTCGGCTCCAGCCCAAAACTCTGGTGACATTTCACCTGCGGTCAACCCATTCGAAGATACTGGATTCCCAGCACCGCCGGTGTCATCTGAGCCCGCAATGAAACGCACAGACTCGCAGGATACACCGCAAACACCACTCTACGACGAGGACGTGTCGCAGCCACTGGAAGAATTCCCACGGCTGCATTACGTAGGTCCCGGCTGGGAAATGCAACTTCGGCAGCCCAATAAGAAAAAGATCACCGGTCAGCGCTTTTGGAAGAAGATATTCGTACGTCTGGTCATACAGAACGATGTGCCCGTAGTACAGCTGCTTAATCAGGCCAGCGACAAGCAGCCATTCCAAGAGCTGCCGCTGCAACCCTCCTATTCGGTGTCCGAGATTGGAGCCCAACAGTACGATCAGTTTGGAAAAATCTTCACAATGAAATTGCAGTACATATTTTACAAAGAGCGGCCGGGCGTACGACCAGGCCAGGTAACTAAGGCGGAACGCATTACCAACAAGCTGACCAAGTTCGCACAATATGCGATTGCTGGCGACTACGAGGGTGTCAAGGAGTTTGGCAGCGATCTGAAGAAGCTGGGCTTACCCGTGGAGCATGCACCGCAATCATCGCAGCTCTTCAAGATTGGTTCGATGAACTACGAGGACATGAAGCAGTTTTCGGTGTGCATTGAGGAGGCACTCTTCCGTTTGCCAGCACTGCGTGAACGTGCGCTTACCTACAAAATGGAGGAGGTGCAGGTGACTGCTGTCGACGAGATAATTGTGGAGCAGGACTTTGAGGGCAAGATACTTAAGCAAATTGCGCGTGTGCGCCTCTTCTTTTTGGCCTTCCTCACGGGTATGCCGACCATTGAGCTTGGTGTAAACGATATGTGGCGGCAGGGAAAGGAGGTGGTTGGTCGTCACGATATCATACCCGTGGCTACCGAAGAGTGGATTCGCCTCGAACTGGTCGAGTTCCACAGCGTGGTTAATCAGGACGAGTACGAGCGTACACGCACCATCAAGTACATTTATTGTCCACAGACTGTCTGCAGATGATTATCGGTTTTGTCCCTTCCAGGTTTCAGCCGCCAGATGCCAATTATATTGAATTGCTGCGCTTCCGTGTACGTCCGCCCAAGAATCGTGAACTTCCCCTGCAGCTCAAGGCCACCTGGTGCGTCACTGGAAACAAAGTAGAGCTGCGAGCTGACATTTTGGTTCCGGGCTTCACGTCGCGCAAACTAGGTCAGATACCGTGCGAAGATGTGTCTGTGCGTTTCCCAATACCCGAGTGTTGGATTTACTTGTTCCGCGTGGAGAAACACTTTAGGTATGGCCTTTGCATGATTTCTCTAAGGAATTGAATACTGCATGCTTAATTGTATGTTTCCAGATATGGCTCTGTAAAGTCCGCACATCGACGCACTGGAAAAATAAAGGGCATAGAGCGAATTCTCGGAGCTGTGGATACGCTGCAAGAGTCTCTAATCGAAGTCACCTCAGGCCAGGCAAAGTACGAGCATCATCATCGAGCCATTGTCTGGCGCTGTCCCCGTTTGCCCAAGGAAGGTCAAGGTATTTGTGAATCGGTTCTCGATTAAGTTATATCGCTTGGACTCTATTAATGGATATATTTCGTGCCCATCTCGCAATTTACTACTACCACTACTACAAATTCTCGTTTGTATACCCTTTGCTGAAATGTGTCGCAACCACGGCATAGATGCATTTATTATTATAGGCATTACGTCTGTCTGTGTCAATCGTTTAAAGCTATCGACAAAGATAATATGTCGATTGGTCGGTCAAGTCAAATCACTATAGAAAGAGTGTTTCTATGAACTACTATTTTTTATTTTAATACGTCTATTGGGACCGCGAATGATGACCTTGCATGACGAAACCCCGAATACTCGCAATTACTTTCCTCTAAAAGAATAATAGAAAGGTCACGGTACCTAACTGTGGTGGAATAGTGTTTGTGTTGTAAGGCACAGTGAAGGGTATATAGCTTCGGTGCAGACGAGGATAATTTCTTATTTTAAAGTTTTCTTCAAGTTTGAAATCTGCTTATAAACCATCTTCCCACATATCATCTCTCTTTCGTTCTTCCCGTTATTAATTGTGCTTTCCTATTATTTCTCCTTTACTCCTCTATCTATCCCGCTGAAAACTGCCTTTGACGATTTATTTATATTACCTTGCTAACTGCTCTGATGTTTTCACCTAGGCGCGTACACCACACATCAGTTGGTCTGCCGCATGGCGCTTACCTCGTACGACCAAATCCCGAGCGAACTGGCGCCATACGCTTTCGTGGAATTCACAATGCCCGCCACGCAGGTCTCGCATACCACCGTGCGCTCGGTCAGTGTGCAGGACTCAGATGCAGACGAACCACCCGAGAAGTATGTGCGCTATCTGGCACGACACGAGTACAAGTAAGTGAATTTATCCAAATCTCTGCCTATCCCCTCCCCCCTAATTTATGTTTCATCTTAAAGGGTTGGCATCGAGACCACGCACGGCGAATCCACGAATGCGTATTTGGCGGCAACACGTCCCATCCGCGAGGAGCCAACCACCAACAGCGGAAGCAAACCGACCGCATCGCCAGTGCCACCAAGTGATTCCGATTCAGACTCCAACTAAGCCACGAGCCCCCGATTGCTGAATAGAGATACATACATATACACGTATACGTCTGATAGTACTTATGTATATATGTGTGTGTAGATGTCGTCAGGCATGGTTGAGGGTCCGGACAGCAGCTGAGGCGAATGTAAACTTGGCTTTCTGGTTCTTACAATTCTTGTTATATGTATTTACCGATTATTCATGCGCATCAGTTTCTTCGTTATACACACACACACACACACAGACACAAGCAAACACACTACACTGACGCATTGATTGCTCCATTGACGCAGGAAGATTTTCATGTTTAGTACACATTAGTCGACAATAAGGATAACAGGCCGTTGAGGGCGTATTGTAAAAAGCCATGGCTTATTCAAGAATTGTGAAACATCAGAGTTTGTCACACAGTTGGTATGAAGTATACATAGATCTACATATATATGCATAAATAAACATATACATACATACATAAATGCATGCTATTTACACAGTTAACTGTTTCGTTTAAGTTTGATTTAGTCAGTCACATGCATAGGTATATATGCTTATATATTTGTATTTTATGTATTGTATAATCACGATTCACAACCAAACCCAATCCAACCAAATGCAACTAAAAGCCCACTTTGGAAGTGGGGGGTGGTGGTGGTGGTGTTGGTGGTGGTGCTGAAGGTGGTGGCAGGAGTTAAAGCGACCAAATGAGCGATGGACCGAATATACAAGTATGTGTGCAACGTCTGTGCGAGTACGTAGAAAAAGCAAAGTTAGGCAATGATTAAGTAACACATTCATATACATATGTACACCTACTTACCTATACACATAAGAGCGTTCATTATTATATAGCATATTTATATATACATACATCTATATATATATATATATAGTACATACTATACTCGTACCAAAACTGATGTTACGTTAAGTGCAATCATTGGCAAAAGCTATGGTAAGAGTAGAAACAAAGACAACAAACGAAATGAAAAGCAATTTCGCAAAACATCGTTCAGGAAATCACAAACATATGTTCATATGTACATACATATATACAGATGTACATATGTACTTGTAAGTGATGTTAAGTGATGCAAGTGAGGTGAAGTGTTCCCAGAACAGAAGGCAATTGTCGGTGGCTACACACACACAGACACACAAACACACAACACACATAAACATAAACTTTAGCTAATTATAAGCCACAATCGATTCATCAACAGGCCAACGCACACAAAAACTCAATCATACACATAGTATATACATACATAGATACATACACACATGCATACATACATGTATGAATGCCCTGCCTAAATATACATATGTACTATAAAACTGTTATGTTTCAGGTATATTGCAATTTCTTGGTATTGGATTCAAAACGTTTGGAATACAAAATTAATGAAATAAAATTTTAAAAAAACAGTCCTCACTTTTCTCCCTAAAGCTCACACTTCAAATTTAAAATGCACCAACAAATTTAGATGATATTTATAAAGATGTTGAACGAAATAATAAAAGTTTAAAAACAATTTTGTTATGCCCGCAAACACCACAATTTTAAAGTCAAATAAAAGAGCGCTCATTCAGAGAAGGCGGGGATTAAAATCCACATACTGTTTTTTTTTTTTTTTTAGTCTTTAAAATTGTGGTTTCTAATGGAAATTTTACAATTTCTGATTTGCGGCTTGCACTGACTATCGAAAATTTTCGATTTTTTTTTTTTTATTGCGAACTGAAATGGTGAAAAGTGGGAACAGAACTTTGTTTTTGTTTAATTGCTTTTGTAAATCTATACCTTTGAATCAAATACGAAGAATAGGTATAACAAAAGGACTATAAACTATCAGAAACATTTAAATATACTTGCTCTGAAAATAGATGAAAGAGACATAAAGCTTATATAGAACCAAAACCTTTTAAAATCAGCAGCTGCAGAGTAAGTCTTAGGCATATGCAATTCAGAATCAGAATTATAGGCGGAATTTTATCATATCGTACTCAAAAGTCCTCTCACATGAGAACTGCGGCTCAGTGTTGCGAAAAAGCTACATACTCGAACTTACAACAAATAAACAAACTACTTAACGCCTACCTAAATGGGTTAATCGAAAAACTAATCACAGCATACACGGAATAATTGTTATCATAACCTAGAGTCATCAATAAACTAAAATAAGCTTTACAATCTTGATTTAAACTATATGATTGATAAATTAAATTGTAATTCAAACTTCAAGCAAACGGAAATGCATATTCAAGTGTTATTGTTGTGAATCAAAGTAAATTATATTCAAAAACAAAATAAATAATGAAAAACTTATTAAATAAATAAAACTAAACGTATAGAGAAGCATCAGCGATGAGCAATGTTAATGTCACTGGCATCATTTTTGTTGAAAAATATATAAATATATATATTTGTGCAAGAAAATAAGAAGAAGAAGAAGAACAAAAAATTAACTAAATATGGCTAAATACCGAACAATTAAATAAACATACCTATATAAATACGCGCCTATACATAAATACTTACTTATATTTAAACAAATGAGTTGAATAGCAAGAATGCATAATAGATTTGTTAATTTAGTGTTAATTCGACTGCGTTCATTTTGCCCCAATAAATTACTATGGTACCTACATACATACATATGTACTCGTATATACATATATATGATTCAACTTTCTTTTTCTCTTTTTCACTCTCTACTTCGCCACGCCGCTCCTATTCATTTCAAATACGACTCAGAAACACAGAAACACACTTCCGTGCATTCTTATATAGTACATACTAACATACATACATACATACATACTATACATAAATCGCATGGCAGAGCCCCTATAGCTGCTTCATGACACACTATTTTGAAATGACTTTCAATCGATATACATGCCTACATACACGATTAAAAAAAAAAAACATATTACATACACATATATATACACATATATACGTATAATATATAAATACTTATATACGAAAGCAAGCCCCTATATGTATATTGTAAACCCTTAAGTATTTATTAAAAGAGAGGAGTCTTGCATTTAGGTGATGTGTGTGTGTGGGAAAAATAGCAATAAATGCAAACTCCACTCAGTTATATGTTACTTTATTTACCTATAAACCTACATACCTATATAATATATGTATGTATGTACAATAAAGTGCAAGAAAAAATCCTGACAATTTTCACATGTTATATATTATATATACTATATGTACGAGTAAATGAATTCATCAAAACAAATATATTAACTGCATGTAGGTTAATTTATACATACATATATACATATGTACATACATATGTGTGTATATATACATGCATATGTATGTATATGCAGTTAAGCGAACGGCATTATCTGAAGAATAAATTCGATATAATGATTATTATGAAACGGAAACGCATTACGATGAAAATTAATTAGTCAAATGAGAAAACAAACCTAAATAAATATCGAGAGAAATATAAAACACAAATGGCAATTGAATCGGGAGTCTTTCAATGCAATTTTGGTAGAAATGAATTGGGAAACATACATACTTGTATGTAATCTATACTTCTATACTATAATAATATAAAGAGGAAAGATTTGATTGTTTGTTTGCTTATTTGAATTGAATAGGCTCCGAAAAGACTGGACCGATTTGAAGGATTCTTTCACTGTTGGGAAGCTACACTACTAATATATTTGCAAAAGAGATAGGGATCCTTACTAAAACGCCAATAATGTAGCCGAAGGTGTAAAAAAATTACCTAAAAATTCCTGAACAGGGTACTCTTAGTTCAAAATCATCCTCGAATCATTATGTCTCTTTAAATATTAAAGCAATATTAAAGCAAAAGTCCCCAGCCTACGAAAGGAGCTCTGACTCAATAAAAAACAATAAAAAAATCGAAAAAAAATCATTAAAAAAATAAGATCCAAACTAATTTTGCTTTTTTCTTTAGCAACTCATAGCAAAAAGAAATGTGTATGCGTTTATAAATTTATAATTTTTAAATTTATAGTTTTTAAATTTACAATTTTTAAATTGATAATTTTTAAGTAAGTATTTGTCGCTTCCTGGGGCATAATATGTAAGAACGGAACGCAGGAAACGAGTATTAAGACATTGCAGATGTTATTGGCCTTGTATGGCGAAGACAGATTTTGAAGGCCCCTTGTTCTATTCAATAAAACCTTAATGTAATGGCTATGATGGTGGAGTGTGTCGATAAATTCCATTTGGGCTGCTCTATTTCTAATATAATACTCTACTGGTACATACCTACAATCCAGACATATGTATTGGATATATATTCATCATAAGCTGAACTTATTTTCATCAACGGCATTTTGCTAAATCACACATAGGAACGTATAATCAAATAAAATAATATAAATGTATTCAAAATGATAATGGGCTTTATCCAAATGGCTACAGAAAGGAACCCTTATCAGTAAATAAGTAAGTGTTTTTGGCTTCCTTTTAATCAGTAGCTGCCATATGAGCATTACAAAAAGAAAGCTGGTAATCAAAAATATTTCATTGCTTCAAATCTCTTCCACCAAGTTGATTAGAAGGATTTAAATATACAGCCCAGTTATTTATTTTTATTTTTATTTTCATTTTTGCGGAGATGGAGTAATGGTGACAGGCTCCGCCCTTGTATACATACACACATACATACTCGTACATATATTATATGTTCCCATATCTTGTATAGCACTCGTAAGTAGATTCACATTTGTGAAAGCCAGTGAATGAATGGCTAGTTGGTTGTTGTCAGTTTTGGCCACAACCCTGGAACCATTTATCATTTAGTTAAGGCCACAGAAGCTGCGCCCGAGAAGAAGAGCTGCATACAAACATATCGAAAAACATATATAGGCACATATATATGTATATACATATATACAAATGCATATATGTACTTATGTACTGTTAGTTGCTACAAGAAGCTAAGCAACAACGGCCTTCGTCTGGGGCTGTCCATGCTAAGCTGTAAGGACTCACAGTTGGGATTCAGAAACTGCGGCGATTTTTGTAATCAGTGCACATATGTGCATGGATGTGTATGTATGTATGTGTGTATGTATGTGTGTATGTATGTGTGTATGTATGTGTGTATGTGTGTGTAGTGTGTGAGGTACAAGGATTTGCTACTAAAATCCTCATAAAATATTACGCTAGTTAGCATGAAGTTCTTGCAATTGACTTGCCCGTTCTTATCATGACTGAATGACTGACTGACTGACTGACTGCCTAACTGAGTGCCTAACTGACTGACAGACAAGTTTGCCAATTTCTTTGCTTTAATGGAGCTCTGTGGTTTGGGTCAAGCATTTAGTTGGCTACATTTTGTATGGAGAGCTTTCTGCTTTGTGGATAGTTTCGTGACATACTAGCTCTGCATCATAACTATTGCATTCTTTCATGGCTACTCGTAGCTTATTGCGTTGATTTTTCAATATTTTCACGTTTGCCCATTTGATTTGCTTTTGGAAAACTCTTATTTGAGCTGTCATTCACAATTTAATGTCCGAACTGTCTGTCTATTTGTTTTGTGGCCTGCTCGCACTGCTGCCGACTATTTGAATGAGCTGGCAAATAAATGACAAGCCGTCTTTCCTACACTGGCAGAAATCGGTATTCCCGCTAGATTATTCTTAAATCAAGTAACCGAAGCACCTGCTACCTGCTTCTCAATTAAGTCTTCTATAGATTGTGTTTGAATTGTTTCTTTTATTTCGTTATAAATTCGTTTTGATTTGAATACAAGTACTTTCCATAAGCTTACAGTTTTTAAAAGAATATTTTCAAGTGAAACTTCTTATGTGAAGGGTCTTGAATGCTCGATCGCGGAATCTTTTTTATGGAAATAAAACTGCATTTTCTGAGGCTCTTGAAAGCTTTTTATAGCGATTTTTATAACTTTTTATAGCGTTGTTTCTAGGAATTTTCCAGCGGTTTAGCTATGCATTTTTAGTAAACTTTCTAGTAATTTTCTTCTTGGCATTAGCCATTTTCTATTTATAGCGGCTTTGTATCAATTTTTTGAATATTCTTCTCATTTTAAGTTGGGTATAGTAAGTTTTTTTTTAGCATTTTTAATGGACTTTCTTGCTGTTTATAGATTTTTTAATGAATTTTCTAGCGAGGTTTGTGGTCATTTTTAGAGGATGTTTTAACCATTTTTAGCAGTTCTTTTAGCCATTTTCTATTTATAGCGGTTTGTTTCCATTTTCTACTCATTTTTAGCTGTTTTTCTACCCATGTACATATACTGAGTTTTCTAGCTTTTTTAATGGACTTTCTTGCTATTTCTAGAAGATTTTCTGGCGACGCTTCTACTCATTTTTAGACGATTTTCTAGCTATGTTTTACCTACTTATAGTTGTGTTTCTATCCATTTTCATCGATAACCGACAGCGATAACCATTTTCTAGCCATTCTTTTCAATCCAAATGTACATAAGCCATCAATCTTTATTGAGTAATTATAAAGGCTCTCCTTACCTATCTAAAAAAATTAACTCAAAATAAATTAGTCCAATATAACATCTAAGTTTCACGTCAATATACAATATTTTACGTTTTTTGACTATTCAATTGGGTGCCTTTTCCTATAAAAACGTTTTGAAATTGTTGGATATTTTTACAAATTGAACATCTTAATATATATTTTGTTATAAATGTGAAATACAAATGTTTATTCTCAACTTCAAGAAGTTGCTCCTAATGGGATTACATGAAAGATTTCTAAATTCTAAAACACATACATACGTATGTATATTTGTTATACAAGTATGCATCGTATAGCGCTTATTGATTTCTCTCTCTGCATAGATGGCCAATCGGACAAACCAAAGCAAGTTCTGAAGCCGATTGTGGCTAAAGCGGCGCGTCAATGGCACGTGATGAAAATATGCTGTCAGCAAAGAGGCAATGGCAGTCAAAGTTGCAGGCCAGTAAATGGGAAGCTCGTCACTCAGTCGGTCAGTCAGTCAGCCAAAGTCAGCGGAGGCAGTCTAACTTATTTAGTTATTGCAACTACTGCTCAACAAATCGGGCATGACTCTATATAGATGATGATGAAAATATTTGCGCTGCTCCTCACTGTATTACAACTATACAATTTTTTATTATGGGAGGAGCTCCATATGTCCGTATGTCCATATGTCGATTGTGGCCACACGTACTACGCTCCCTCCAATGTTCATATGAATAAACGAGGGAGCAAACAAATAAAACTCAAACGAATCAATAAACGAGATGAATAAATGGCCAAAGCGGCTGTCACACATGCGGAGAGTCAAGCCAAATAAGGACCTTAATATGAATGTCTAGTTGAGATTTGCTGTAACAGCCGCTGACATGTTCGTAGGGGCTTATTGAAAAGTCGCTAGTTGGTAACCTACTATATAACCTACCTAATAAGAAACGTGTATTTACAGCTAAACGTGAAGCTACTAATGGTTCTACAAAGAAATACCAAGAAAACTACTTAATAAGGTCTTAGATAAGACTTTTGATTTGCCAAGTGATTGTTTACAGCGGGGATTTTTTATTTTAGTCTATAATCAGCTGGTTTTAGACTCCATGTAGCTAGGTTCTTAGTTCTGTACATTACTTCTTATATGTATATAGCCTTGTATACTATACTAGCTGTGCCAATTCAATTAAATTTTTAAAATAAAAAAAACACTTCTTGTGACATAACTTTAATAGTTAGACATTTTTATAGCCTGTACCCAAAGGGTGAAAGGCTATACTAGTTTTGTGCGCATGTATGTAACACACAGAAGGAGGCGTGGCAGACCCCACAAAGTATATATATTCTTGATCAGGATGAGAAGCCGAGTCGATATAGCCTTGTCCGTCCGTCCGTCTGTCCGTCTGTCCGCCTGTCCGTCTGTCCGTCCGTCCGTCTGTCCGTCTGTCCGTATGAACGCAAGGATCTCAGAAAGCATAAGAGCTAGAATAACCAAACTTGGTTTCCATATTCTCCTAAGACCGAGAAAGTACGAGTTTGAGTTTTTTTTCGATGCACCCCCCCACTCCCCCGCAATTCGTGTTTTTTCTTATAACTTCCGTAATTCTCGGAATTTTGAAATCAATTTCATTTTGGTAGGTACATCCAGTTAGTACTAATGTGTCCGTATGCCAAATTTCATCATGATAGGTCAATTCTGAAGAAAGTTATAGCCATAATTAAAATCGCTGCTCATGAGCTGCCTCTGTCGGCAGCGCTGCCCGCAGCTGTTGTTGTTGTTGCTGCTTTGGTTCAACTTTGTGCTGCATACATACACGCATATAAACACGCATAGGTACGTGATGTAAATGTATGCTGTTAAAACTGAACATAAACATGTATTCTCATTTAATTTAATTAATTAATTCATTCATTCATTTTTTTTAATAA